AGGTAACACCTCGAATCTGATGAAACACCTGGCGACGCATAGCGTTTTTTTTAAAAGCCGAGAAATGCGCCGTATTTGATAGCTTGCTGCGAGACCTCACACCGGCACATCTACTGCGGGTGTGTGCCTGTTATCGGACCCGGAGTTAGCAACATCCCCCAAAAACCCGAAGAGAGAGTCCTGGCCCCTAGCCCTGCCAGTGTAGCAGAAATGATGACGGATGATGATGCAGCAGCAGCCGTTCTTCTCTGCGTGAGTAGCTTAATGTTGTTCGTGTGTAATTTACGTTGAGTAGGCTAACCACGTTATTACATTAATGCATGTAAGGTGAACTAGCAAACATCATCATAGCTACATGCGGCTGTCTTCTTGTTTGATGGCAGATACTCCCTTCACCCTGGCCAAAAAGGCTAAAATGACCAAAGAAAAAGTGGAAAACAGTAAACATGAGAGGTTTTTGGACAAAGTTTGTGTTTTTTCCATTTTTAAGCACTGCTTCCAGCCAAGAGTGATACCATATATGCCCCATAGCTGCAGAAAAGGCTAACATTGTTATCTTTTTAAAAAAAAACAGCTGAACATGAGAGGTTTTTGGACAATTTTGTGTTCTCCATTCTTTAAGCACCGGTTCGAGCACGGTTTGACATGCACCGGCACCGTTTCAAAAGTACCGGGTTGGTACTGGTCATCGGATAAACTAAACGATTCAGACCTTAGTTTTCACAGGAGCTACAGTATCCAGAGTCGTACGTAGTGAGGAGGTAAATTATTAACAAGATAATCGACCTCTGTTGGGGTAGCGTTCAGATAGCTGCTCTGCTCTGTGTTGGTACAGGGCATTGAAGATGATAACAGTGGGTGGATTATATTCTTAAACTTAGTTACAGCACTTTCAGAAAGACATCTACTGTGATAAAGTCTACTCTCCACTGCTGTGTAATCAATTATTGTAAATGTAAATGTTATCAGGAAATGATCAGACAGGAGAGGGTTTTCAGGAAACACTGTTAAATGTTCAGTTTCTATGCCATATGTTAAAACAAGATCTAGAGTGTGATTAAAGTGGTGGGTGGGTTCTTTTACATTTTGAGAGAAGCCAATTGAGTCTAATAACAGATTAAATGCCATGTTGAGGCTGTCATTTTTAGCATCTACATGGATGTTAAAATCACCCACAATAATTATTTTATCTGAGCTCAGAACTAAATCAGATAAAAAGTCTGAGAAATCAGACAGAAACTCTGTGTAAGGCCCAGGTGGACGATAGATGATAACAAGTAAGACTGGTTTCTGAGTTTTCACAGCTGGGGTGGACGAGGCTAAGCATCAGGCTTTCAATGTTAATTAAAAGGCTGGTGTGAAAAATTGCTGCCACTGTGCTTCGAGATTTCTGGTAGTTAGAATGACTCGGGGGTGTTGATTCATTTAAACTAACATAATCATCCTGCTGCAACCAGGTTTCTGTAAGGCAGAGTAAATCAATTTGTTGATCAATTATTAAGTCATGTACTAACAGAGACTGGAGGAGAGTCTATTAGATAGACATGATACAAATCACTGGAGTGCAGTGCCTGTAATACCAACAGCATGCTCTAATCACTCTAATAGAATATTATGGTTGAGTGGCGGCGGCGTTGCACCTCCGGCGGCATGCCCCGGATCCGGCGGCAGTGTCACAGGTCCGGTGGCCTACCACGGTTCCAGGGGTAGCGGCGTAGCAGCACGGGCAGCCTGCCCCTGGTCCGGTGGCAACCTTGCAGCTCTGGCGGCCGCCCACGATGGCAAAACTTCCTTGCTGACACCAGGAACTTGCGCGCCCTATGCAGGTCCCGCTGGCATGCTCACCTCGTGCTCGAGCAGAGCGGGTCCCTCCGGCGCGCTGACCTACTGCTTGGGCAGAGTGGGTCCCCGGGCATGCTGATCTCCTGCTCGGGCGCCGCAGCTGCAGGTGGTAGAGCCAATGGTGATGGTGGTGTGGCGGCTGCAGGTGCTAGATTGGGTGGATTTGCAGCACCAACAGGTAGGTGAAGTGATGTAGGTGAAGTAGGCTTATGAAGCAGCGGCTGGGGCTGTGCAGAGCAGTCAGTCCATTCCAGCCCTGGTAGCGTTCCGCAATCCTCTGCTGGCAGACTAAACTCCCCCGAGTGTTCAGCAGAGGATAGAGACGGCCGAGTTGCCGGCTGAGCTACAGCGAACTGAGCTACAGGCCGGGGCAGCAGCATTAGCTGTCTCACAGTTCAGTGACAAAACCGATGCCGTGGGTAATGCCAAATTGTCCTTTTTACTCACCACAGCTGGCTGTTGGAAAGACTGGGAATCCGGCTGCGTTGAGGAGCCTGTTCTGAGAAACCATCCTACTCTAAACTTTTAACCATAACCTTAAGAAGTATTCCGGATGGGTGAGAAAAAAATAAGTCAATTTGGCGTTGGTTTTGTGCGAATGCGCCACGTCTGCGCAGAAACATTGGCTAGGTTGTTTTTTCAGGTAGGATGGATTCCCAGAACACCGGCAGTGCAAGCGTTGCTCCCCCGACTAGCCTGATGAGCTGTAGGGCTGTATCCCAATTCAGGGTCTGCAGCCTTTAAGTACGCAGCCTTAACAGTCCACAAGGGCCGCGTACTCAAACACCGCTAAGACCAGAAGTGCGAGGGTTGTAGGATTGTGAAATGGGACGGTCTAGCCTCCGTCGTGCTGCCCAGGTTGCCTAGCAACCACGATACTAACAGCTGGAAATTTTTCATACAGCTTTGTTTGACAGAAATGAAGGAGAAAATGTTTTGTTCATTTGTTTGTTTGTTTTTACATGAGCTCTGATAGATTTTTTTGAGTATCTGAGGCTGAGACCACAGGACTGTAAAAACATAATTGTTGGGCTTCATTTCTGTACTGAACAGTCATTTAAGATTAGCTAGTTAATAACAATTAGCTAATGTTGTTCATGAGACTAAAGTCATCTGTCACGGTCTGGCTGGGGCAGACCGTATGTGTTGCAGAGGAGGACTCAAACGCAGACCAAAACGTGGTGTGGATTAACAAAACAAGCCGTTTATTGAGGCTAGCAACGAGGGTACAAAATAATAGGGCATCGGTGAAAACTAAAACAATAACCTAAACTGGGTGAACTAATAACAAAACATGAAAAACCTTAACCATAGTGAACTGCATCACTGACTTTCAGCCTGTTGTGTTTGTGGATATATGACTGACTTTAATTATCCACAAAATCATCACAATCTCTGTGAGATTAAGGCCAGCTATTGAACGGCGTATATTTTAAAGGCTTTAAAACCAAGTTAACACAGAAAGTACAAACATCACTAATGTCACATAACTTTGCCGACATGTGGCCAACAGTAATGTTTTAATGTTCTTCGTTATTAAACATTCGCACATAAATAAGTGACACAATATTCGGTACTTAATTTTGAAAGTTTACTCTTCGGCCACTCCGTTTCAGCTGTCTGCCGTTTTTTCCGCAAAATTATCCACACCCACTGCCGTGCTATGAAGTCCAGGATATGTTGGGCCATGAAGTGGCCTAAATATATCAACAAATACTTTTGAAAAATATATTAAAAGCTTTCAGGCGACGTTGGATGGCTGGTGTTTATCCTTTGATACACAAGATGCAAGGCGTGCCATCATTAACTATTAAAAAGGTTTGGTGATGAAATATCTGGTTTGAAATACAGAATGGGAGGAAAGGAAAGCATTCGTCTCTATAAGCTTGGTCTAGTAATCGAGAATTAATTTTTCAGAGTTGGGGAAAGGCTTAATTAATTAGCTTGATGATATGAAACATCCAGTGATTCCTCATGTCTCTACTTTCATTCTACGTCACATTCATAAGTAATTAGGATACTGTGGGAGCACAAAGAGTGGATGATAAATGATTACAAACCCTTTTGTGTGAGGTAGAAGGTAGAAAACTATGTAGCATTGTTGCAGGAATGACAGTGGTGGTCAAAGAACAAGAAAAGTTTTGATGTTCAAGATATTGTCATCGTGGCAGACTCCACTACGCCTTGTGGATCCTGGTTGGTAGTGTGGGTGGGAGTGGCACTTTTTTTGGCACTTAAAAAAATAGAATTGAATAAAAATGGAAGATAGAAGGAGTTGGAACAGTACGAGTCCCATCACCCCCTGGCTCTATTCTAGCTGTGCACTGCCTACTCAGAAGATGAGAGATTCAGACCGTCTCTTTTTGGGTACTGGGGTCATAGAACAATATTCAAGGCAAGACAAAGATAGGAAGGAGAATTGGGAATAAAACCATCAAATGAGCATTTACACAGACAATACACCATCACCACCAAAAGGAAAATAAAGAAACATAAAATATAATATGTCAACAAATTTGTCTCTCTGGCCATGTTATGTCCCTGCATCAGCTGCACCAATTTTACTGGTTCCACAAGAAAAAGGGACAATACTACACATCCACAAAGGGAACCAGTAGGCTGGGCCTGCAACTACAGCTGTTTTATTATGAAATCTAACTGTTATGCTAACATGTCTCCAGTGTGTGCTGTTATAAAGATGTGTTCTGTTGTTAATGGGGGTGACCGTAGTTCAGGGGGTTGGGAAGCTTCTCTTGTAACCGGAAGGTTGTCGGTTTGATCCCCAGCTCTGTCTGTACTGGTTGTTGTGTCCTTGGGCAAGACACTTCACCCTACTGCCTACTGGTTTTGGCTGATGGCGCGATATGGCAGCCTCGCTTCTGTCAGTCTGCTCCAGGGCACCTGTGACTACAACTGTAGCTTGCCTTCACCAGTGTGTGAATGTGAGAGTGAATGAATAATGGAATTGTAAAGTGCTTTGAGTGTCTAGAAAAGTGCTATATAAATGCAATCCATTATTATTATTATTATTATCATTAATGATGAAGTCATGTTGAGTTGTGCTGAGTTTGAATCAGTGAATAGTTGTTTGCTGCCATCTTTTTCTTGTGTGTCTGCTGTCTCTGATCTCTCTGTTTGATCTTCTCTGATGTCTCCAGACTCTGTCAGGCTGCTGAATGGTTCCAGTCTGTGTTCAGGCAGACTGGAGGTGAAGTCTAACCAGAGCTGGTCCTCAGTGTGTGAAGTTGACTTTGACAAGCAGGATGCAGAGGTGGTCTGTAGGCAGCTCGGCTGTGGGCCTCCTTCGGTCCTCCAAGGGGCGCTGTATGAAGAAGTGGAGGCTTCAGTGTGGAGCAAAGAGTTCCAGTGTGGAGGCCATGAGTCTGCTCTCCTGGACTGTAGAAGCTCAGCCTCAGCTAGAAACAGCTGCTCACCTGGCAAAGCTGTTGGACTCACCTGCTCAGGTAGAAGAGGAGCTGCTGCTTCGATGTGGTTCAAACTCACTTTATTCTTTTACTGATGACTCTCTGCTTTCTCTTCAGATAATGATGTCAGGCTGGTAGGAGGACCTAGTCGCTGTGCAGGTACACTGGAGTTAAAACATCTGGCAGGATGGAGACCATTGTGTGGCTCTCATGATTCCTGGACCCTGAAAGAAGCAGCTGTTTTCTGTGAACATCTGGACTGTGGCTCAGCTGTTTCTATAGAAAAGCGACGCTCCTCACGCACATCTGCATGGTTGATTACACCTGAGTGTGTTCTATCCACATCTCCTTTGAGGGGTTGTGCAAAGACAGATTCTTCTTACCAAATCCTGAAACTAACCTGTTCAGGTAATCATACTGATGATATCATCCATGACTTCATATATGACAGAGATTTATGAAGCTGTGAAAGATAGCAGCAAGATTAGCAACAGACTGTCTCCAGCAGTCACAACATGGCAGAACTTAAGAAATCCTCTAAACCAATGTCCAACCAGCCTGAAGGACTCCTTCAGCCTAACAGCTTTCAAAGTTCATAGACAAGTACAGACACAAAGGCTGTAGGATAATTAAACTAGTTAACAGGTTGTTTGGGAACAGGGAACAGGACAGGAGGGAGGAGAACCTGAGCTGACAGCAGGAACTAAAACATACCTTGGTCCTGTTGTAGCTCTACGTGATACTGGACCACACTGATCACACCTGTTCTGGATCGCACCAATTGCACATGCTCACTTGAGTTGTATCTTTTTTGTGTGGGTGCATCACGAGAGTGCCATGCTTTCATATGTTAGCTCAATCAAATGCTAGACTAGTATAAAGAAAAGATCTTTCTGTTATTGATGTGCAGAACCGGCACTCCAGTACAGCACATCTGGATCAGCTCTTTCTGTTTAAAAAGTCCTAACCTCTGTTTTTAATAAGTAAGTAGTACAGAGCTTTGATGGAGTTATACCATTGTCAGAATCCTTTAGCACAGGCGGGGGTGTGGTAGCAACCCTCAACTCCAGCTTAGTATTCAATCAAAGACCCAGACAGAGTTTTAATTCATTTGAATGCCTTATGGGTACCAAGAAATGACTTAATACATTTCTTTTCAAGTAAAAATGTAACCATTAGAGAAAATGACCCAGCTGTCTTCGCTAATTATCAATCAATCAATCAATCAATCAATCCATTTATTTATAAGCAAAGTTAGACCTGGTAGTAGCAACCTTATCAACAAAAAACTGTAAAAAGCTTCCACAGGTGGCTGAAGTAACCTTCACACTGGACACAGGGCCTGTAACAATTATTAGAGATGATGTCTGATACTTAATACTTCGTTTTTGTAGTTTTGATCTTTTTGCCATTTTCCTTCCACTTTTCTGGAGGCCCTTCTGAGAGTGATATTGCTTAACCAGGGATTTGTTTTAGGTCTAATGTACTTAGATTTAAAAGGAGGAACAGCATCAAGAACATGCTGAACAAAGTGAGCAGATGATCAGCGCTGAGCTTAAGGGAGTAATTGTCCAAGGGAAGTGCACCAATATTCTGATAAACAGCAGAAAAACATCCAGCAGTAGCAGGAGGGATGATGCAGAATTTGCACGCAGGTAAAAGAGGTTTAACTCGGGGACATGGTGCAGAAATTTGGATTATAACAGGCATCTGACCAGAAAAGTTGAGCTTGCAAATGTCAATATCGCGGAGCTGCAGACCACAAGATAAAACTAAATCCAAAGTATGTCTATGGTCATGGGTGGGATCCCTGACTGATTGAACAACATTACAAGAGTCAATAAGATAAGGGAAATCTTTCACAAGACATTTTTGGTAGCAACAAACGTGAATATAAAAAACCCCCAGGAATTAGAATGCTGTCAAATCTTGGTAAGATCCCAGATAAAAAGACAGAAAGGTCTTGAAATGAAATCCTTGTTAAACTTGGAATGGTGATAAACAAGTGCACCCAGCACAGGAGAATAGAGTTCCATCAGAAATAATTGGAGTTCAAAGCTGCCCCAAATGTCAGAGGTGAGAGACCGGCAATCAAAACAGTTTTTAGAAACAGATGCAAGATCTCTGCAGAAATCTCAGTTAGCTATTAAAAGAAATGCATTCCATTCTCTTATCCTTGTCAGGGCTGCAAGGGGGCTTTAGTCTATCTCAGCTGTCTTTTTGCAATAGGCAGGGTACACCCTGGACAGGTCGCCAGTCTATTGCAGGGCTAACACAAAGAGACAAGCAACCATTCACACTCACACCTATGGGAAATTTAGAGTTACCAATCAAGCTAACCCCACTGACTCCATGTCTTTGGACTGTGAGAGGTAGCCAGAGTACCTGAAGGGAACCCACGCACAAATGGGCAGAGCAGACAGACAGACAAAAAGACCGAGGTCCAATGGCAGAATTTAACTCAGGGACTTCTTGCTGTGAGGCAACAGTGCTAACTACTGTGCCACCATGTTGCTGTCATTTTACCATTCCTTTAAATTTAAGTTTTATTTATACAACAACAAATCACAACAGCAGCCACTTCAAGGTGCGTCGTCTTGGAAGGTAGACCCTACAGTAACACATACAGAAAGAAACCCAACAATCATATGACCCCCTATGAGCAAGCGCTTTGATTACAGTGGGAAGGAAAAACTCCCTTTTAACAGGAAGAAACCTCCAGCAGAACCAGGCTCAGGGAGGGGCGGCCATCTGTCGCCACTGGTTAGGGTGAGAGAAGAAAGACAGGACAAAAGACATGCTGTGAAAGAGAGCAATAGATTAATAATAAGTAGTATTTTATCAGAAATACAAACAAGGAAACCCAGCCTGTAACAGTTCAAAGACGATTCTCTAAACCATTACTGTGAATTCCTTCTGTCTGTACAAGAACATAAAACTTGTTTATATCAGCCTAACAGTGTAAATTAATTACACTGGTGTACAATTCAACCATCAGAAACTACAGTCGTGTTCAAAATCCACTCATCATGGTGTGAGTGTCAGAATCATTTGGAGCTTTCAATCAGTTATTCGAGCTGTTCTGTTTCCAGGGTGGAGTGTTTGCACAGCATATATTTTTAGTGACTTTAAAAATAAGAAGTGGACACACAAATTTGGATTTATTTTGGACTGTAGCATTAACAAGCTTGTGGTATTTCACCATTTTAAATATTGCTAACACCAAAATGCTCCACCGTTCCACCTCTCATGAATGAATCAAACCTCTCTCTTTCACCTCAGATTCAGAAGATTTTCTGTGTTTACAGACTTCCTGGTTCAGCCAGTCATCTCTGTGTCCTCCATGAACGGGGTCTCCAAAGCCCAGCAGCAGGAGCTTCGGGTATCAAGGGGCTCTAACTTCACCATCAGCTGCTCCATCCAGCCACAGTATCCAGGAGGCTTCTTCCAGCTCACCTTCACCTCCTCCAACACAGCATACAACTACACCCAACCAGCTGTCAATCACTCTGCTTATTTCCTGTTTCCTGCTGCAAAGCTCGCCCACCAAGGAAACTACAGCTGTGTTTATCACGTCTATGCTATCGCTCATAACTTCTCCTCTGAGAGCCGCCTGCTGTCTGTCACTGTGTCAGGTAAGCTGAAGCAGAGACTCTCAGATGTTTACAGCTTTGAAAGCTGAATGAGTTGATGACCCAAAGAACCAGGTCACCTGGCTTCCTGAAGGATATGTTACATTCCAGTTGAAGTCGGAAGCTGGAATTTCTGAGTTTGCTGTCAGAATTTTTGATGATACCGTTTATGACCTGAATCCACATTAGCCAGATAAAATCGATGTTTCAGTGACATCTGTCGGTTTGAATTCTTTTTGAGCCCGTAGAAGCTGTGGTTTGTTATATGCTAATTATTTTTCCAACTAAATGTTTTTATTTCAGCAGAATATAATTAAATCCAAGAATGTAATGTGGTAATTTATTACCACATAATAAAGTTATTACCACTCAAGTTATTACCAAGTTATTACTACTCAATTACTAGTGGTAGCTTCTGTTTAATAATGAGGAACCAGAGCTGCAAAATCTAAGGAGCTTGGAAATAAAAGCGTCTGGACTTTTTTAAGTTTCCTGAAGATGTTTTACATCTCGTCTGAGAAGCTTATTGAGTTCTAAGTTTAAATGGTGGAGAGTCACAGATTTAAGCCCTATGGGGCTTAAATCTGTGACACATAATAATCACATATATGTTATTAATAAAAAAAAAACAGGCAGTTCAGCATTTTGCAGCTCTGTAATAAGCTCTGCTTATTACACAGAAATTACCAGCCTCTCCAAAAAGTTGATTCTGTTCATCTGGACGTAGTGTTTTGTGGGAGAAACGTTTCGTCAAGTGACTTCTTCAGTCTCAGCTGACTGCAGGTTTCCCCAATCTTATAAACAGTAAATTTGCATAATGACTGAAACCAGCCCACTGAAGGAACAACGGGCTGGGAGGTCAGTTCCTTAATCTTAATTATGCAAATTCTCATGACCATTGATCAACAACCACTGACCAAAGACCACTGATCAATGGCCATGAGTACCATTCACAGAGAGTTGGGGAATGGCTGCAATCACAGCATTGTAAGATGGCGAAAGATGTACCCTTGGGCCCCCTCCTTGATTCAGAGATGGTCTTTCCCATTTCACGTGAATGGCCTCCTTGACTCCGCGCTCAAACCAGCGTTCCTCCCTGTCCAGGATGTGTACATCCTCATAATTGAAAGAGTGTCCACTGGCCTGTAGGTGTGAATAGACTGCAGAGTCCTGGCCTGATGAGGTAGCTCTTCTGTGTTGTGTCATCCACTTCGCCAGAGGTTGTTTGGTTTCCCCGACGTATAAATCCTGGCAATCCTCCTGGCACTTAACAGCGTGCACTATGTTACTCTGTTTGGGGGACCCGATCCTTGGGGTGGACCAGTTTTTGGTGCAGCGTGTTTTGGGGTTTAAAAGACACAGAGACCCGGTGTTTAGAAAACATGTGTCTCAACTGTTCCGATACTCCTGACACATATGGGATCACTACAGGTTTTCACTTGGGCAGCGGTTGTCCTTCTCTCCTGGATCAGCTGGAGCTTTCTTTAGGTGTCTTTCCAGCTTTGACAAAAGTCCAGCTGGGATAACCACATTTACTCAGGGCCTTCTTGATGTGCCGTTCTTCTGCCTCCCTGGCCGCTGTGTCTGTGGGGATGGTGTTCGCTCTGTGTTATAGCATCCTGATGACACCCAGTTTGTGCTCCAGTGGATGATGAGAGTCAAACCTTAAATACTGATCCGTATGTGTAGGTTTACAGTACACGTCAGCTTTTAGATGTCCCTCATTACTGATGGAAATCTCACAGTCTAAGAAGGCTAACCTGCCACTTTCATATCCTCTATGGTGAATTTGATTTGTCAGTCCACCGAGTTAATGTGATCCGTGAATTGTGGTATGTCCTGAGATTTGATTTACACCCAGGTGTCATCCACATATCTGAACCAATGGCTTGGTGGTGTTCAAGGGTAGGATAGCAAAGCCCTCTTTTCCACTTCTTCCATGTACAAACTGAACTGAAGTAACTAAAGAAGTCACTTGGATGAGTGACGAAACGTTTCTCCCATAAAACGCTACGTCCAGATGAACAGAATCAACTTTTTGGAGATTTACTTTCCTGGATGATTGAGAATGCATCAAGAAGAAACTACCAGCATTAATTGAATGGTAATAACTTAGAAATTACCACAGTATTACGTTCTTGTTTCTCCCTTTTTATCCTACTATTTTCACTTTAATACAAAGATGAATGTGTTTTTATCAGCTCGAACAGATTTCACAGTTCTCATCACAATGCTCATCCTACCGCTGACTCTGCTGCTGGTGATCGCTGCCCTTTATTTCTACTGTCAGGTACTGAACACGTGTTTGTATCTGAGAATGAAGCCCTCAGCCTGTGATGCTGTCACTCTGATCTCTCTGTTGTCATCTGTCTCCAGGCCAGCAGGGGGCAGAAATCCAGCAGACAGAAGAACACTGAGCTGCTTGACTCTAATCAGGGTGTTTGTGCAGGTGAAGGAGGGACGGCTGCAAATAAAGGAGTTCAGCAGGACCTCCAAAGAGCTCATCCTACAGCCACATGAATTAATCAGCTGATGTGAGCGACCATCAGCTCAGTTTTCTGCTGAAGACTTAAATCTGTAAACACACCTCACTAACAAATATCTTCATTAATTATTCTGAAATGTGTAGAGATAGATCACCCACCAGGGAAGGCGGTGAGGCAACATTTTAAAAATGCACAGTGTAACACTGGATCATTTACACTGCAGTCAAACAGGCCTCAACATCAGCTTATGACTTCTTGGTAACCACTGGTCACTATGGAAGAATGTGGATTCCTTCACTGGCAGTCTTCTGGTGAAATTGGTGCTGCACTGAAAAGCTCCCTCGCTTTGGTGTCTGCAGGCTGACGAGCTCGCTGCAGTTTGCATAGAAAACACAAACTTGTCTGCAAAAGTTTGCCAACTGCTCACAGACTACGTTCAATATCCTTTTACTTCCACTAATGTAAGAAAGACATTTTTAGTATTTAGAAGAAGTAGTTGCTGTGATGTTTCATGCTGTGTTTTCTTTTTAATTACTTCTTTCTTGACTCTTCTGGCTTTTATTATCCACTCTTCCTGTTTGCATCAGCCAGTAAAGGCTCACATTCACTTCATTCTGTAGTGTCATGTGTTTGCATTTGATCCTTGGCCAACAGGATACTGCTCCCTTCATCCAACACTAACATCACAGAAGAACACAAGGTTATTGTCTGCTTCCTTTATCCTTAATAAAATGTTCTGAGTCATTTTCAAAACAAATATGTGCTTTAATTGGAAAAACATTTATTTTTTGTAAAGTGGTATGTTATAAAAGTATGTCACCCATCAAATAAACTAATGGATGTATACTCTGAATATAACACAGAGAAGGAAAAGTTTATAGTTTGTAACACTCTAAACAAATATTTAATTAAGAAGGATAAGTTAAACTTTTGTAGATTTTGCTATTAAATTGTTGGTAAATGGTAAATGGCCTGTATTTATATAGCGCTTTACTAGTCCCTAAGGACCCCAAAGCGCTTTACATATCCAGTCATCCACCCATTCACACACACATTCACACACTGGTGATGGCAGCTACATTGTAGCCACAGCCACCCTGGGGCGCACTGACAGAGGCGAGGCTGCCGGACACTGGCGCCACCGGGCCCTCTGACCACCACTAGTAGGCAACGGGTGAAGTGTCTTGCCCAAGGACACAACGACCGAGACTGTCCAAGCCGGGGCTCGAAACCGGCAACCTTCCAATTACAAGGCGAACTCCCAACTCTTGAGCCAATCGCCACATTGTTGGGACCAGAAAGTACATTACACATTATTCTGTTCTGTAAGACTGACCAGACGTGTCTGTCACTGCTGCTCTGTATTTCAGACCACAAGAACCACGAGTTTGTTCCTCTGAAGGACGAATATGAAGGAAAGAAGGCAGAGCTGGAGAAGACAGAGGCTGAAATTCAGCAGATGATCCAGAAGAGACGACTGAAGATTCAGCAGATCAAAGAGTCAGTGAAGATGAGTAAAGGTGCTGCAGACAGACAGAAAGCAGAAGGTGTTCAGGTCTTCACTGCTCTAAAGAAGTCTGTCGATAAAGACCAGAAGGAGCTCATAAAGGAGATCGAAGACAAACAGGAAACAACAGAGAAACACGCTGAAGGTCTGATCAAAGATCTGGAACAGGAAATCTCTGAGCTGAAGAAGAGAAGATCTGAGGTGGAGCAGCTCTCACGCTCTCAAGACCACCTCCACCTACTCCAAAGCTTCTCGTCCCAGAAAGCTGCTCCACCCACCAAGGACTGGAGAGGAGTGAGTGTCCGTCCACCATCATACGAGGGGACTGTGGTGAGAGCTGTGGCTCAGCTGGAGGAGACGCTCAGGAAACTCATGAAGAAGAAGCTGTTTGAGGCTGAGCTGAAGAGGGTCCAGCAGTATGCAGTGGACGTGACTCTGGATCCGGATACAGCAAATTCTAAACTCATCCTGTCTGATGATGAAAAACAAGTGCACTGTGGTGATGTGAGGAAGAAACTTCCTGACAACCCAGAGAGATTTTCTCCATGCCCTAATGTTTTAGGAAAGCAGAGTTTCTCTTCAGGCAGATTTTACTTTGAGGTTCAGGTTAAAGGAAAAACTGACTGGGATTTAGGAGTGGCCAGAGAGTCGATCAACAGGAAGGGAAAAATCGAACTGACTCCTCAGGATGGTTTCTGGACTGTGTGGCTAAGAAATGGAAATGAATACAAAGCTCTTGCTGGTCCTCCAGTCCCCCTCTGTCTTCAGTCTGGTCCTGAGATGGTGGGGGTGTTTGTGGATTATGAGGAGGGTCTGGTTTCCTTTTATGATGTAGGTCTTATCCACTCCTTTACTGGCTACTCCTTCATTCACAAACTCCACCCATTCTCTGCACCTCTGATCATCTGTCCTGTCAATCAAACTGAGTCGATCAACGACTGATTTTATTTGATGAACTGATTGATTTTTAATGAAGGGAACAAATGAACATATTCAGTGTAAATACTCTACAGTCTCCATGTTTTCTATAGAATCTGATTATCGGGAACTCTCATTCACACTTTGATTTTATTCTCATGGTTTTAAAGGTATAATTGAGACTCGAGCTGCCAGACAAGAGGAAAAGAGGACCCGAAAGGAGGTTCATGGATGTAATGAAGCCGAGCGTTGGTGTGTCAGTTAAAAGTCTGTCAATCTGATTCTAACTGGCTTCTGTTGCGCTTCACTTGCTTTCTCTCCATGTAACACCACTTAAACGTAGCTGACCACAGTCGCAGCGTCCACTCAGTTATACGGAGATGGTGCCCTCTAGTGGTCACGGCAGAGTTCATCGGCACAAAATGAGACGTTTGAGTTTTGCTCAGTGTTCATTTTTATCAGGTTTTGAGTTTTTGGAGACTTGAAAGAAAATACTTTAGGTGAACTTGTGTTTTTTATTTGTGCTCTGATGAATAAAAACATTAACATTAATAGACTTTCTTCTATTTGATCTTTTTTTAATGCTGCCATTTAAATTTTCTACGTGCACACCTTTATAAGAGGGAAAAGTAGCAGGCCGCATGAGAAACCACCTGCATGTTCTCTTAACCTAGCGTAAGTTCAGCAAATTAGCATATTACAATAAAGTGGTGCACTCAACAGAAAAACAGTTTAGACTAAAAACATCCAACAATATTATAAAAATAAAACCAACTGGGTTTGAACCTTTTTAGCACCTTTACTGCATGCAACTGTTCTGTAAACTGGAGCAGAAACAGAAACTCACCTCTGCCCAGCGAGGCCTCGGCTGACTGAGGAGAGTAGGAAGTGACACACATGGGAAGTCAAAGGTCACACAAACAAAATAAAAGTTCACAAAAATACAAATACACAAAATAAACATATAAATATTCATGAAAAATAATGATAAAATCTTTCTAATGCACCCATTACACGAGCAAAGAAATCAAGGAAATGAGATGAGGAGAGATGATCCAAAAGCAGAAGGGGACTCTCATCTACATGGATGTAAAAATTACCAACAATAATTATTTTATCTGAGCTGAGCACTAACTCAGATAAAAGTCTGAGATATCTGACAGAATACATGTTTGCACTAAATAATCATGCAAACAAACATCTTCCTTCTATATGTGGAAGTGAAGTGAGAGTGAACATCTGGCGACAGATGGTCGCCCCTCCCTGAGCACTAGTTCTGCTGAAGGTTCTTCCTGTTAAAACTGAGTTTTTCCTTTCCACTGTGACCAAGTGTTTGTTAACAGGCATCATCTGATTCTTTGGGTTTCTTTGTATTACTGTAGAGTCCTCATCTTACAGTATAAATCAGAATCAGAAAGAGTTTTATTGCCAAATGTTGAGCAGATTTACAACATTAGGAAATTGCTGCTGTACTTTGTGCAAGACATACGATAAGACAAACACTTAAAGATAAAAAGAGCTAAACAGATTGATATATACATGAGTGCAGGTGATGATCAGTGCAAGAATGGAACAGGTGCATAGACCACAATACAGGGTCATGTGTTTGAATCAGAGTAAGTGGTGGGAGTTTATCCACCGCAGCTGTGACAAATACTGGAAATAAGTCCACCGGTGTTGTAGTCCTGTAGTTAAGAAGCGCTTCTCTGGTGTAAGAATATCCAGAAGAGTGTCCAGAAACACAAAATATGCAAAAAAACAAGACGGAAAATGCGCCTGAAGTACCAGGGCATCCATTCGCTGCGCCATCTTGGAAAAGGAAGCACATTGAGGAGACTGTTGTGATTTGGCACAATAAAAATTACAGGGCATTGAAACACTTCTTTCACTCCCTGACATGCAAATCAGTTTATACATTTTATGTAATGTGATTTTTCCTTTTTTTAAAAAAATTTTGGTTGATATTCTGTTGCTCTCCATTAAAATGAAAACTACTATAACAATTAGAGACTGTTTATTTTTTTGTGAAGGAGAACACTAACGATTCAACAGAGAATAAATAATTATTCCCTTAAAAGGGGTAGAGGTTGAACTAATTCCATTCAGAGGGGAAATATGAAAAAAACAGAGCAAACCAGGTCAGTTAATTGGCCTTAAGGTCTCTGATGATGACAGATGCACCAGTCACCCATGAACAACTGCACTGTAAAATCAAATTAGTTCACAGAACTAAAAAAAACAAAAAAACAATGCAAAAAATTTAAGTAAAGCTTACTTAAAAGAACTACGTTAGGGCAGCTTATTCATTGCAAGTATACAATACTAAGAATAACTTGATGTTTCTGACTGTGAAATACTAAATGTTTACCCACAGATAAACATTTCAAGTTCTACTAAATTAAAAAACAATTTGTAGCAACTTGCCCAATAATGTTTACCACTCAGTTGATGTCTTTCTGTCCAACAGCTCCATTTCTAGACTTGTACGAGTTTGATGTAACGTGGGGAGTGCTGGTCCCGAAACTCAAAGACAGTAAGAAACAAGTACAGGGACCAACAAATTATTTAGAAGCTGTTTTGATCCCTAATGGTTGTGCAGTCATTATAACTTACAAGACAGAAGGTCAATGTAGACCTCATACAACCAAATTAGACTAACACATATAGTATTAAAAACACCGTCTATTACTGTGTCTGAATGTGTGGTACTGCCACTGTCAGTTTAGGCCTAAATAAATACGTGTTTAAAAAAGAACACCTAATTTAAATGTAATCATTACATGCTTGTTAAAAGCTAACATCCAATATATAAAGTTTCTAATAAGCACAATGACCTGATAAAACATGTGGCAGTGCTTACCCAAAATGTTTCATATGATTCAAACATGGGATTTAATTTAATTCTTTAGGACAAGCTGAATTACTTTATTTTCAACTATAAAGCCAACCTAGACTTTAACTATTTAACAAGCCGGTAATCTGGTTATGGCTTTGGACTTTCACAACAAAACCTGTCTAAACACGTTTTCAAATCAAATTCAAATTCAAATTTTATTTGTCACGTACACAGTCATACACAGTACGATATGTAGTGAAATGCTTGGACAACTGCTCGTGACCTAAAGAAAACAAAAAGGAAAAGGCTATGAATAAGATAGGAAATAAATATGAAAAATTAAAAAGGGTAAATTTAACTAGGAAGGAATAAAATATAAATTAAGGTTAAAAATGAAATAACTGTACAACACAAATTAGAATGAAGGGTAAATTTAACTGGGAAGAATAAGATAAAATATATAAATTAAAGTTGAAAATAAAATAACTGTACAACAAAATACACAATATAGAACTATATAAGAATGTATGAAGAAATATAAATAAATAAATATATACACAATAACAGCAGCTGTACAAGTATTAACCGGAAATGAAGAATATAGTGACCAGTGTTGTGCAATCCACATTATGTCTTGTGCAGTGCAAATATGCTTAAAGTGATTTAAGTGATGAAGTGAAAGTTTTGTAACAAAAAAAAAAACACTTGAGATCTGTGACATTAATCGATGTCACAGATGTTGAAAAGCAATCACAAAGCATTGAAATAAATACAGGGGTTAAACAGTTCATATGTTATAAAGGTTTATATGGATTAAAAACAAGCCCCGCCCCCTAACGGCTGCATCTTCTGAATAAGTTTCATCTGGGCTCTTATAGCTGCTCACTTTTCTATTTCAAACAATCAACAAAAAATGTATACGATTTTTATACAAGGTTTTTAAAGCTGCAAGGTTAATTTTAAGTAACATGAGCTGAAATGCAGCAGCATGCACACTGAGCATCGGTGATATGAAAAGCTAGGCTAAAACTGGCTAGTTAGCAAGTTCATAAACCTGGTGCTAAACTGAGAGAATGCACAAAAACAGTTTGAATACATTTCCAGTTTACTTAGTTTTTCTAATTTATATCAACTCAAATAAACTGAGTTGATCAGCTTTTTGAAAAGTACCGGTAACTTAGTTAAACTGAGCTCTAATAACAAATTGATAAAAATGGAGTTTGGTCTACTTAATTAAACACAATATTAGATTTTATGCCATTAGTGGAAACATCAAAGCCAATGAGATATCCTATTGTTTTGTCAGCTTGCAGTAGTCTGGAAACAGCTTCAGTCCCAACGTGCTTTTATAGGTAGAAAGGTTTCAGGCAGAGGACAAATAAAGATCTGTGTGGATTTCAGTGTTGTAGACAGATGTGGTCTTACATGTGTTGCAGATGTAAGCATGACAGGAGGAGAGAAGCTCCTGAGTGGTGTGTGTAAGACTGCAGGTTATCAAGGTTACTCAGTTTAACAGTATGATTGCAGTATCAAAAACATCTAAAATGCTGTGAATAATAAAAAAGAGAGAAACTAATGAAATTCCAACCAGAATACTGAAATAAGTGAACACACTCTAACACTAAGCTAGAACAGCTCTGTAGGAGACGCCTGGGAATTAAACGTGCTGTTTGGTGTACTTCCACATCATGACCAGCACGTGGAGGCAGAGTCCTTCTTCTGCCGTAGTAGAACTCACATTTACAGTCTTTTCGCGCTCATGTTCAGACTTTATCACTAATATTATCACCTTTATTCTTTTATTTTTTTACTCGCATTTATCCTCTTTGGACTCTGAACCTCTGCATGTGTAAACATGAATATTCAGACTACATTTATAAATTCTGCATTCATCAGCTGATCGTCTCTCTCTGTCTCGGCAGAAATGTTTCTGTCGAACTGTTCACTGTTTTTGTGTTTGGTCTGAATTTCTTTGCACAGTTTAGGAAGCGTTCACCCTCCGATTACTTTCCCTTCTCCTCCACCTCCTCCTGCTGCTCTCCACAGTGCAGGGAGGAGGAGAAAGGGAGGAGGAGAAAGGGAGGAGGAGAAAGGGAGGAGGAGAAAGGGAGGAGGCGGGCTTAGAGATCTGACGCAGTGAGCGGCTGCTCCTTTACTTCCACTCCCCGCTCCCAGGAAGCGACACGGAGGCTCGGAGAGCGCTCACAAACGCGCACATCCACCAGGTCGGAAAGAGGCGGAGGACGGCTAATGGAGGCGAAGAGGGCGGCGGCGATGACTGGAGGAGAAGCGAGGCTCCGGAGCTTCGGTTTAAAGCCGGAGCTGTGAGCGCTGAGGTCTGCCTTTATTGTGTGCTGAGTGGCGCAGGAGAAAAGGATGCCTCCGCGGCCGCGCACACGCCTCCCGCTCCTCTCGACAAACTCGATCATTTCCCGACTCGAAGCCGATCGTCTGCCCTCTCAGGAGGAGGGTTTGTGGGTGAGGAGCGCGCTGATTTCTGAGGGACTCCGTCCACCATGCTGCCCGCTCAGGATCCATGAAAACTCTCAATGAAAACAAGGAGAAGGAGGAGGAGGAGGAGGGGTCCGGCTGCAGCGCCATGGAGGACAAGGAGAACAATCTGAAAACGGCCAGGCTGTGGAGGGATGCCGCCCTCCGCTCCAGGAAGCTGCGGAGCAACCTGAGGCAGCTCACTCTCT